GAGAAATCATTAGCAATTTTTTGAGACGTTGTGTATCAGAAAGATATAAAAATCATAATTTTGAATTCTCGGGTGCAGACTTACGGATATTAACTATTAAGCACGAGTTACGAAGATCCAGAAATTACTGAAATAATGCCTCTAAGAAACCTCTTACACAGAAATGAATCTTTTGTAAGGGAAACAAATTTGAAAATGATCATAAAGAGGAATTCTGCACCTCTGCTAGCTCTGATATCATGCATGGAAAAAAATGTAGCCAGGCCGGCTTTTCATTCGACTGCCAGTGAAATGTTGAGAAGTTGGGACGGAAAACTTTCGCTGGAAGAATCTTGTGAGCTAGATGTTTAGCCTTATTTTCAAACTTTAACCGCTCAAGTGATTTCCCACGCAGCATTTGGAATGAAATATATTACTGGTTTCAATCGTTTCCTCCCGGTGTTTAAAAAACATATTCCCCTGTTCTGCAATAATATGAAGATAATTCCAATGCGAGAGACATCAATACATATATGGAGCAAATCAGACTGTTAAATGATCATGTTAAACAGATAGCAATAGTTGGATCTGCACACTTACAAAGCTTACAGAGGTCTCCTTCACCACTTTCATGATGTACCGATTACCACTCTTGCAAAGGTAATCTTCTTCTACTCGTTCAGTCTCTGCCTTCATTACTATAACTAAAAGTTGCAAGAATTTCCACTTCTCCATGTACTTTTTTCCCTTGACACGCCCCCACCAACTCAGCTACAAAATAAGCTATATGACAAGTGTTCACATCTCTATGAATTCGTCCATTTTATGCAGGTATGAAACACAACTCTGACGGCTATATTGAACCTTTGCTTTCAAGAGAGGATAATTGCAGAACTCGTATTCTTGTGGAAAACTTCGTCCAAGCTACTACTTTATAAGTGGTCATAGATTAGAACTACTTCTGATCCTTCACAGCACCATCCTCGAAGCTCAACAAAATTCTTGTGCCTTAATCAGCCAGCCATTGTTGCAGATTTGATTAGAGAAGAATTTCCAGTACGGCCAATCCCTGCTCGATCAAGCCTCTTGATAATCACTTGAGGGTAAGAAAGACCTCTAGATTCTTTCCCGGTCCCAAGTTTTCTTTTACAGTGGTAGATCTGTACGTCCTATACAAGATGACTTTCTAAATATCAAATGCAATCGTATTAACAATTATCATCATTTAACCTACTACATAAATATCAAGTTTCAGAGCGAAACATGAAAAAAAAATCGCTTTGTCTCTCACTTAGATTCACACTTTGCAGAAAGGCAAGAGAATTTGTCATTTGTTAAGCAAAAAAGTAGAAATATTGCAGAATCTGATCACCTGGACAGCATAGAAATGTTTATTTTTACATTAGAGAAGGCCGGATCCTCGGTTTGTATATTAAAAAATCTGGTCACTCTATCTCTTGATTCAGTTAAAGTATCTGATCACTGCAACAACAAAGAAACTTTTTTTTTTTTACGTTGCATGAGGTTAAATATTCACTCTCTCCTCGAATTCTTTGGGTCTATCTGGTGGTGCATTAAATTCCTAATATTTTCCTGCGTTACATTTAATATTATTTTTAATCAATCAAACTTGTCTCCTGGCTTACGTGCAAAGGAGACTAATGCAGCTAGATATAGTTCAAACAATCAAGTACAAAGTAACTTCTCTAGAAAACTTTGCAAGGAGATGTTCAAAGATCTCCATGAAAGACTTTGCGCAATTCGGACACGAAAGCACCAATATGCCTATTGAACTGCCATCCATTTTGCAACCAGTCCCGCGCCTATCAGAAGTTTATACAACCTCTGAGAAACAAGCAAAAACCAGTGCTAACTTCAACAAAGAGAATACCAGAGTCTACTATCAATCACTCTTGTTGCTTTCAGAAGCTTCTCTTCAACGCACTAAAGACACAATTCAACTGCCATCAAAGAAAACAGGTATATGATATAAATGAATAATAGTTAGAAGCACCGCAAAACTCTGCTTTAGTCATGCCTGTAATACATCAGACATCTCACTTGCTCATATTACCAACACCTGTACTACTACTTGCATGACGCACAAAATTGATAAGCTACGTGTAACCTTCTCTTCCCACAGCACACAATTCTATAATTCCATCATTATGTCTTTTTTTTTCTATGCGGTGCACTCATGCGTGAAGTAACCTTGCTATTATGTCTATGTATATATCAATATATATATATGCTTAACGGCATATTAGAGAACAACTATCCTATGTGAAACCTCCCCCAGATTCTTCAGTTCACGGCAGCCTTCTTGTTTACCTGCAAAGGTAAGTCTTTTATTCTTATTCCCTTATACTCTTACGTCTCCAACTTCCATTCTGTCAACTCTCATATAATTCCAATTTCTATCAATCTATCTTGCATCAGAAACATATTTCAAACTAATACTTATATATAAAATATAAAAACATCTATCATAAACATTTGATTCCTCGTTATTTTCTTCGCTTCACTGTCATTTATATGAAATTTTGCTTAATACCTTCCAGACTTCAAATAAAGCAACTTACTGCAATCTGTTATTGACAAGCGTTGCTAAAACACTTGCAATGACTACTGCCAGGTATCTTCTGATTTTATAGTGCTTAAGTCTATTATTTACCTGACCTATTGAGAAATCTACAAATAATAATATGCGATATTTTATCAGTTTTACTTGATATAAACAATCAAAATTTCAGATCAAACATAGAAACCAAGTGCGTTCTCATTCCCGACCTGACAGACGCGAACAGAAACTGGTTTGCAAAGCTTGTCATTATAGAAAAGAGCCCTATTCGTTATGGCAAAGACACTGGCACTCCATATCAGAAATATATCTTCGCAGATGCAGCAGTAAGTGCGCCTTCTCAAATTCTTACTACTACATACGATTTCCAGCAAGCATGTTTCTTGACCCTACAAAATTATATTATAATAAATCTAATTATTTTTCCTCCTACTTGAAAAACAACAGAATAACACGATTCAAGCTTCTGTGTATGATCGCGATATTGAAGATCTTGATGCAATCCTGCAACTGCATTCTACCTATTACATTGGAAATGCTTGGATAACAAAGATTGCTAATCCATTCTTCATGGCTTCATCAGCCTATCAACTGGCAATATCAAAGAGAACCTTCATCCGTGCTGTTACACCTGATAATGCACTCCCCTGTGAACATTGCTACCAATTTACACCATTTCACGAGCTGCATGGCTTCATTGGAGATGACAATACAAGAATAAGCATGCCAACACAGCTCCCTTCACCTTACTTTTCAATTTTTACCTGTTAAACTTTATTAGACTGATGCAACGTATATGATTTTTTTTAGGTATCTTATGTACCGTCATCCATGCCTTACCTCCTCGCACTGTTCCCAGAGGCAACCGTTTTGTTCCAATTCAGGAATTTGTTGTTCTTAATGAAGAGTAAGATAATGACTGTCATAGAAACATTTTTAGCTAACACAAAATCTTTAAACTTTCTATAACTTCTTCATGCAACAGGGAAAAACCTTTATTATTCACTATGTGGGAAGAATTCCTCCCGTCTGAAGGTGCCCAATTAAAGAACTTGATACCTCACCAGCCAATCATTATCATAGCAAGACCAAAGGTCAACACTCATCACAGTAAGACCTAGCTACTTTCAAATAGCACTACGATAAAACATTCTGTAGAAATTCCCGTGTTGCTAATAATTATACAATTTCTCAGCTATATCTATTGGGACTCAGGCAACTTCTATCATAATATTCAATCCAGAAATCCCCCAGGCTGCACTATTGAGGCAATGGTAAGATAAATATTCTCTACCTTTAACCTATTAGTAGTACTATCCTAATATGCACTCTCTTACTAACAGGATTGCTGAAAATGCTACTTATATACGGAGGATAATTGAAGAGAAACTCTATGACAAAGCTCATCAACAAGTCCATCCACCAATTGCATCGCAGCTACGAGAAATATATACTATTGACCCTACTGCTCAACAGGTCAATTTCCTAACCTCCATGTTTAAACTAAATTTAAAATTTACTTTTCCTAACTTTCATTACAAAAATATGCAGACAAAACCCTTTTGGATCAAAGCAGAAATTCGTATCCGAAACACCAACTCCCGTTACTATTTCCTCAGTTGTCCCAATCCTACTTGTATGAAGCCTACCGGTGCAGATATCGACACAGACTTCACATGTTTTTATTGCCGGATGACGTATCCGAAACCTCTCGCAAGGTATCGGCTATAAAACTTACACCTCCATTCTTAACAAACAGTAATGAATCCTCCTTGTATATAAACTTCGGAGCTACGAATTAATCACGTATTTATTACTAACAGTTTCACATATATCTACTTTGCAACTTTTAGATTGCGCTTTGAAACCCAGCTATGTGATGATACCGGTTTGCTAACAGCCACTATCGAAGATGACTATGCTGAATCAATTCTTCAGACATCAGTGCATGAAGTCATACGCATGGAACAAGCAGAAGAACAGCTAGACATAGCCGTCATCAATAACAGGCTACAGAACACTCGCTACTATATCCAAGTGAGAAATACAACAAGATCAGTCCAGTTCATACACAACCCTCGCTACATTATTGTAGCATACCTCCCATATTACCGCAGCAACGCATTGCCAGTACAACCCATCTTTCTAATACTGAATCCGAGACGTCGGGATCTATAGCTATCCCAGCTTCAACTGCTGATAACTACACCTCAACATCACGACTGACAGTCACATTTGCAAGTGAAAGTACCAGTGAAGAAGAGATAGGTCGGCTTCAGTCAAAACACCTCCTTGACCCAAGCTCGGAGATTACACCAAAGCATCATAAGCCATGAATAACCTATCTTGTTATCAAGAAAATAAATACTAACGTGATACCTTTTGTTTAGGTGGACCACATAATGTACAAAGAACAAGACTTTTGTTCAGATCCTGTGACTCAGACTACCACTGAAAAAGCAAATATCCAGCTCCAGTCAAACCACCTCCTTGCTCCAGACTCGGAAGTTACAACGAAGCGTCGCAAAGCGGGAAAAATTTGCGCTGCCACAAAAAATACCAATACCAACGTAGTAACTTTTGTCTAAGTAAACTACCTTATGTACATAAATTAGAACTTTTGCTCAAAGCGTACAGCTTTGGTACCTGATCAGTGTAACAAACATCTCTCGGTAAATACGAAGTGCATAGTAATGCTAATGATAAGTAGAATACAAGCCAGTATTATCTAATTTTTACACACACTTACTGCTCCTAACAGACTAAACCAAAAAGGCTATAAACACCATCAAGATAAATACGACACAACAGCCATGACTCAACTTAGAATTATTTCACAGCTCATTCCATTAAACTATGCCTAACTCCTTCAAGCAACCAAGCTACACCGACTCAAAGCATTTTTACCAATAATTACATAGCTATAGTTCCAATAACGGCATTGGAGCGGCAAAACGTCTCGTACAATTTAACTACCCCCATCTCCTGGCATAGTTTCGTACCACTCGTGTAATTCACGAGCTCGTGGAATATCGACGTTATACATAACAATAGTCTGTTCCTGTGTAGCAAGTGACACCCCTGAAAACAAAGAGACAATTTAAAAAAAAATTATTCACCCTTGATCAAAGAATGGGAAAAAAATAAAATAGACAACTCACCATAAAGACGACTAACTTTAGGCCTACAGATTAAAACAACTGGATGTTCATTCGCAATCTGAACAAGATGCATCCCTTCTGACTCAAGAAAATCCTCCCACATGGCAAATATCATTGGTCTCATCCTAGAAACAATAAAAATAATTATCACATGAACATAAAAAAATTTCCTAATACAAAAAAAGCTTACTAAAAAATGTCTTATAAATAAAACATACTCCTCATTCAGTATAATAAACTCTTGAACCCATATATATCTTCCTCCGATAATAAATATTTGCAAAGGTAGGACTTCGATCACCATAGCAAGAATAGCTACAACAAAACGTAAATAGTTACAGAGCCATAATTGTTAAATGAAACATATATATATATATATATATATACTCAATCAAACTCAAATAAATACATTAATACCTAAGTTCGAATCTCCGAAATATCTCAAGGAACCCAAATTCGCAAACGGAGTAAAATTATATATATTATCAATTGGCAATCTCAGTGATGGATCAACCAACTGAATAAAGCTATATTGTGTAATCACTAACTCGAAAGCAACCGTTCCAAGAACTACTCGATTATTCGTTAATCTACGAACTGTCGCACTTCCTATATAATACGTAGAATATAATTGTAACACCTCATCTAACACCTGAACGTCATTTAAGTAGACAATCCCTTGAATCCGATCACCCTGCAAATAAAAATTCCGTAAGTCCAAAATATGAACGCAAATGAAATAGAGAAAAAAAAATTCCTACTTACCAAATCATCGGCAAAAACGTAACGCTGATACTTACGTCCCATATAATGAGCATGCCGAATAAGACTTTTTTCTACCACCGCAACCCGAATAACCCATGCATAGATATTATCGTTTAATTGACTAATGGCCACGCGATTCATCTCCATAATAATACAAAAAAACAAATTACAAGCTTACGAACCACTACTCCAAAACTCCTATATCAAAACAATTCTTTTAGAAATATACTACTACAACACTGGTAAGCTCCTGCCAACCACTGGAAAAACGTATCATTAAAAATGCATGGGAGGAAGATGAACGACCAGGCACCACACACCACTTAACAAGACATTCCACGTTTTTATAGAACAAAACCTCCACTCTGATACACAAAAAAACATGCAACATAATAGTTGTCACATAACTACGACCCAAACTGCCAAGTGTCAACTTCAATGCAAATATATGGCACCCATGCATACACAAACAACACCAATCTTGCCACCACACACAGAAACCTGACACAATGCATCACATTTTGACAGCGCAAATCTTTAACACTAAACTACCTTCCATCGATTAAATTAAATTAATGCAAGTTGGGGCAACCTCGCACGTAGCGCGAGGCTTAAGAAACTAGTGTGTTTATAAAGTTACGAGTACATAGTCCAACAGAGGGGTAGATATTACCTACTGAGCGACTTGTCGCTTAACCCACTTTTTACCATTTTTGCAGATTCTGAAGAATATGAATTGGTTTACGTAGAAGACCCTGAGGATGACTTGTATTAGTTTTAGATGAACAGAAGTTGGCAGGCTGGCTACTTCAAGTTGTTAGTCTTATTTACTTTCGTTTCCGCTGTTTTAATCAGAGAATAAATGTACGAACGTCTTGGATATTAGTAAACTACCTTTTTATATGGGATTTGTATCGCACTTTAGTTAGTTATATTATTTAGTACTTTTAAAGTTAGATTAATTAATGTAGCCTTGTATTCTTGAGCGGAACTTGGGAGTACGGCGGATGTCATGTGACGGGCGCGTGCGGGCTCGGGGCGTGACACTTTTGCTTTGTGACCAGCTATACAAGCACAGCTCTTTTTTCTTAGTTTTATATTAATTCTATCTTTGCTAAATATAGTACAAAATGTGAATCATTTTGAGACTTACATTCAACCTTCACATAAGTGACAAAAGAATATTTATTGCTTGGTTGAAACTAAAAGAACATTTATTCAGTTTTGGCAGAAGCGAAATTCCATTTGTTACAAAAGAACATTTATTCAGTTTTTCTAGAAGCGAATTCCATTTTTTTCCTTTTTCTCGTAGATGAAAACTCCATGTCATTGTTCATCTTAGGCATCTCTTGTTTGATGTGGCAGTGTCATAGTGGTTTTTTTGACATTATGAATGTGAGCTAAAAAAGTGTACAGAAAGATAAAAAGATGATTGAAATACATATTTATGATACAACCAATTTTTTTTAAAAAAATATAATCACTTATGCAAACAAACATATTCTTCCACTAAGCCACCCGTACTCCGGCATCTTAAGGATAAAACATATAGCTCTTGTTCACCCATACTTTTATTTTATTTATATATGTTGAAAAACAAACCAAACCTAAAAGTTTTAATTGATTATTTAATAGTTTTATCTATAGTTAAATTTTTAATAGTTGTATTATTTAAAAGTTTATATTTTATTTGTTAATTTCTTAACATAATAGTTTCTTGTTTTACAAGTCTAGTTAGTTATAAATAGCACATTAGTTAAAATATTTCTATGATTTAATTCTACAAAGTAACGCTCGAAGATGCGTTAATGCCTGCAGGATGCAGTTGCAGGCGGTGACACATGCAGGAGGAGAAATCGAGGCCATAAGATGAAAGGTCAAAGTCTCCATTATTTACACTTTTGGTATATAAAAAACAACCGAGTAACAAGGTAACATGAGATAGGGTTAGGGATGCAAACGAGTCGAGTCAAGTCGAGTTTTGGTCTAATTGAGTCGAGCCTCCAATTAATTTTATGAAACTCGAACTCGAGTTAAAAAAGATTAATAATAATTATTTTATTTTTAAAAATGAATAAAATAATTTTTTTTCTTAACAAATAATAAAATATTAGAGATATATATGTAAATTTACTATTAAAATAAAAAATAAAAAATATATATAATCGATCTCGCGAGCCTACGAGCTTAATGTTTTTGAGCTCAAACTCGACTTGATTAGTTCGAGGTCGATTCGAATTCGATATTGACCGAATAAGAGGAGTATAGGTACGTTAGACATCGCCACTGTTTCGAAACCATCGATTCCAGTTTCAAAATTGACGGTTTTGATTCTTTCGAAAGATAGAACATAAGTGAGTTCTCAAAAGAGTAGTTATGACTACGTTTCTTGAACCTACGATTTCAGTTACGGTTCCGATTCTTTTTGTTATATTTAAACACTTGTTGGTATAAAATTGATTCTAAAAAAATATGATAATGAATGTAAAAACAAAAAAAAACTTATTATATCATCATGTGCAAGAAAAAGAAAAAATTATGCAGATTTTATGAAAAAAATATTTTATTATTGATTAGATTAGATTTGTCTTAGATTTAGATTAGTCATGGGGTATAAACTTATTAATGGAATAGGACAATGAGTTGTTGGGTTAGAACTAGAGCTACTGGTAGTAGATGTTGACTATTGATATTAAACCATAATCTGGTTAAATATGTTTATAGGTGGCAAATATTTTTTTAGAAGGTTTAAATAGGCTGTAAACCATCCATTTCGATTTTGGTTCCGACTCAGAATTTTGATGAACCTAAATCTAAACCTTTAGCCACAATTATAGTTCCAATTTTGATGTCCAAAATTTGGTTTCGATTTCGGTTCAACAATCCGTCAATCAATTCTGATCTGGTTTCGATTTAAATCTGAATCGTGGTCACTCCTGGGATGGGTTGTAACCTATTTGCCAAAGTTATTGCCAACTCAATAGAATTCAATATATTGCCAGTGCAACATTAATTTGCACAGAGTGGTAGTTGGGTATGATTCGATAGAGCTGGGTGGTTGCTGAGTTAGTATTACGCGAGGGTAGCAATTGAATGATGATTTTTGAAACGCAGATGAAACGGTAACGCCTACAGGCAGTGCAAAATTAATTTTCACACAGTGATATATAGTGTGTCAAGTATTAGGGAAGGTAAGTGATACTTCTAAAACCTCAGGGTTCCAAGTGATATTAGGAGAAACCTCAAGGGAGGTTTCGAATATTATCCCATTGGTATGAAGTGCATAATTGTGAAATTTGTATAAAGATATATAGATCAATAAGGGCTTTCTTCTTCTTGTATATTTCTCTCTTTTTTTTTAGAGAGTATCTACTTTTTTACATTGAATTTTTTTTTTTTTTTTGTACAACCTCAACTAATGTCTAATGAGAAAGTTTTCATACTTTGATTAAGAAATTTTGATACATATAATAATTGGAGATGGAGTCCAATGGTAGGTAAATAGTTTTTAATGAGCAATTTTTAATTATAATCACCAATACTATTGAAATGTAATCAATTGGAGTGTTTTATTTCTTTTAATTAGTGCCACATTGAAATGCAATAATTTTAATTAAAAAACAAAAGGGTAATTTGGAAATAACAAAAACTAAGATAAAAAAGTGCTTACATTCTCTAATGCTAAGATTCATACATTTTATATAGTAATGATAATGATAAAATGATACTTTTGTCCTAGGTTTCCTTTTATAAGACATTAATGTCATTTCTACGTGAATAAGTAAATATACACCAATCTACTTCAAACTATTTATAACTGATGTTTAGTTCAATTTCAGAAAACATTCCTTTTTCCTTAATTGAATAAGATAAAAATACTGCTATAAATAACATGGAGCAAAATGGCAAGAAGCGCTATCACTTTCTCCATTTTTGCGCATTTTTTCTTTCTTCAACTTGATTGCCCTGCTCTGCATTGAGATTCAGGCCTACACCTTATGTTAGTGTAACACGAGAGGCTTTAGATATATGAGATATCATTCATATTCAAGTTTGGAATCCCTTTTTTTTTTTTTTTTTTTCAAAACATGAGCTATATATCTTGACTTGAAGTTGAAAATATTGTTTTAAAATATTGTTTTTGCATACTTATGATCAAATTTTTCAATAATTTATCCAGTCATCTGATTGAAGGTAGAAAGAAGATTTGATTAGGCATTTCAATGAACATATAATTTTCTTCCTTTTCACAAAATTCAGGGTCTCTCCACTTAAATTATTACATGCATGATGATTTGGACAGAAAAAATTATTCTATGGTAAAAATCATGTCTTGTAACTTGAACATCCAAAAAAATCTAAGGTCTTTCCTTCTAAACCATGTAAAATGGCATTTTCATCAACTCAACTATTTGGACAGTTAACTTGATGGGTTGGACTGAAATGGAAGGTAAAGTGAAAAGAAATAAACTTTAGATGTAAGTACAACATTGATGAATTCCAATCAATCCTAACTTTAGATTTGTTTGCCAACTTCATTCTTTTTTCTCTTCCAGTGCACGAATAGGGCCTTTTATTTCCTTATTCTCTTTTTCGGTTTGGACAGCATTGGAAAAATTAGAATCAACCAAATAACTCTTTTTTGGGCACTGTTAGTTGCCCAAAATATCATTAATAACAAAAAGAGTCATTCCTTGTTTAATAATAGTGGGACAATTAACAAAGCAAGCATTGAAGTGTGAGATTTCAAATAATTATAAAAAAAAACAAAGGACTTAAAAAGCTTGTGAATTGGGGAAAACAGATACGGAAACATTCTTTTTATTTTGATAAAAACTTGAAATAATTTTATATTAATCACTACACGACATAGCTTCCATTCTATGCGCGAAATACAAATACCAACTTCTTTCCTTCTGCGAGTCAAAATGTTCTGAGGTTAGGGACACTGGATACCAGGTCCGCATCAAGCCTACTGATGAAATCTTTCGGCATGTCCACAAGCTCAAGCGCATCAAGACTTGATATGTGCTTCAGCTCTTCCGGCAACTTCCGTAATCTGCTGCAGCTCCTGATTCTCAGGCACCGGAGCTGTGGCAATGCACCTTTCTCCACCTTTATTTCATCCAAAGCAAGTAGGCGGCTGA